TTGGACATGGAGAACTTGGAGGTTCTTGATCTGGAAGGAAACTCGCTAACTGGGTTGGTTCCCGATGATTTTGCTAGGTTGGGTAAGTTGCGGGTTCTCAACCTTGGGTTCAATAGGATTACTGGTGGGATTCCTAGCTCGCTTTCAGATTGTGCGAGTTTGGAGATCTTGAATTTAGCTGGGAATCAGTTGAATGGGACAATTCCGGAGTTTGTTGGTCGGTTAAGAGGGGTCTACTTGTCTTTCAATTTCTTTACAGGATCCATTACGAGTGAGCTCGGGAATAGCTGTGGGAAGCTTGAGCATCTCGATCTGTCTGGTAATTTTTTGGTCCGTGGGATTCCGAGCAATTTGGGGAATTGCATTCAGTTGCGGACTCTGTTGCTGTATTCTAATATGCTGGAAGAGGCCATTCCAGCCGAAATCGGTAAGCTGCAGAAGCTAGAAGTGCTCGATCTTTCGAGGAATAGCCTGAGCGGTCCGATACCCCCCGAGCTCGGAAACTGCCTGCAGTTGTCCGTCCTCGTGCTCTCGAATCTCTTTGATCCAATTCCCAAGATCAATTACACAGATGAAGACTCTCCAACTGAGGAACTTAGTAATGATAGTTATAACTACTTTGCGGGTTCCATACCTGAGGCAATAACGGCCCTTCCAAAACTGAGGATATTGTGGGCCCCAAGTGCAAACCTCAATGGCCAATTCCCTTCCAAATGGGGTAAGTGTGAAAACTTGGAGATGATCAACTTAGCTTCTAATTACCTTTCTGGGGAGCTTCCTACGGGGTTTAACGTCTGCAAAAAGCTCAAAGTCCTTGATTTAAGCTCGAACCGGCTTTCTGGAGAACTTGATAAAAACCTCCCAGTTGCTTATACGACTCTATTTGATCTTAGCGGTAACAACTTTGATGGTGAGATTCCTATGTTCTGTGACAAGGATTGCCCGCCACTGCGTTCGGATGGATATTTGGGTTTTGCTGATGCATCGTCCCGGTATTTTTCATTTTTTGCCACTAGCGTTCAAGGTGCAACCCCTCTCGAATTTCTTGGAGATGGTGATCTGATAGTACATAACTTCGGGGAAAATAACTTTACAGGCAATCTTTTGTCGTTCCCAATAGCACACGAAAGAATGGGAAGGAGAACTGTTTATGCTTATCTTGTGGGTGGAAATAAGCTCACCGGACCATTTCCTGATAGTTTATTTGAGAAATGCGAGTATTTGGGGGGACTGATCCTTAATGTTAGCAGCAATAGAATATCTGGTCCATTTTCTGTGACATTTGGTAAAAAGTGTAGTTCTCTCAAGTTCTTGGATGCATCTGGGAATCAGATGACTGGGCAGGTACCTGCTAGCTTTGGTGAGCTTTTATCTCTGAATCACCTGAACCTAAGTCGGAACAAGTTTCAGTATCAAATACCGACTTCTCTCGGTCAGGTGGCTGATTTGAAGTACCTTTGTTTGGCTGGCAATAACTTTAATGGTTCTATACCTTCCACCTTAGGTCAGTTGCAGTCTTTGGAGTTGCTGGATCTCTCGTATAACGATCTTTCGGGTGAAATTCCGAGTGATCTTGTTAACTTGAGAGGCCTAAAAGTTCTGCTGCTCAATAATAATTCACTCTCTGGACAGGTTCCCTCTGGTTTGGCAAATGTTACCACGCTATCTGCTTTTAATGTGTCGTTCAATAACTTGTCTGGTTCCCTGCCATCAAGTAACAACATGATTAAATGTAGTGGTGCGATCGGAAATCCTTACCTCCGCTCGTGCCATATGTCTTCTCTGGCGGTGCCATCATCTGAAATGCAAGGTGCGGTGGGCGACCCGAGTAGTCTTGCAGCTTCACCGTCTGGTGCTGCAACCCAAACAAGTGGAGGTGGCAGCTTCAATTCAATTGAGATAGCATCCATTACATCTGCCTCCGCCATTGTTTCTGTTCTTATAGCTTTGATTATTCTGTTTCTATATACCCGAAAGTGGAACACGAGGTCTAAAGTTCTCGGATCAATGAGAAAGGAAGTAACGGTTTTTACTGATATCGGGGTTTCCCTGACATTTGAGAATGTGGTGCGTGCGACAAGTAATTTCAATGCCAGCAACTGCATTGGCAGTGGAGGGTTTGGGGCAACTTACAAGGCAGAGATCTCCTCCGGGGTGTTAGTCGCAATAAAACGGCTTGCTGTAGGTCGGTTTCAAGGCGTCCAACAGTTCGATGCAGAAATTAAAACTCTCGGAAGGCTGCGCCACCCGAATCTAGTCACCTTAATTGGTTACCATGCCAGTGAAACAGAGATGTTTCTGATATATAATTATTTGCCTGGTGGTAATCTGGAAAAATTCATCCAGGAGAGGTCTACAAGGGCGGTTGACTGGAGAATACTTCACAAGATTGCACTGGACATAGCCCGCGCGCTCGCATATCTTCACGATCAGTGTGTACCACGAGTCCTCCACCGCGACGTAAAGCCAAGTAACATACTATTAGACGACGATTTCAATGCTTATCTCTCTGATTTTGGATTGGCCAGGCTTCTCGGGACATCTGAAACCCATGCTACCACAGGTGTGGCTGGAACTTTCGGCTACGTCGCTCCCGAATACGCCATGACTTGCCGTGTCTCCGATAAAGCAGACGTGTACAGTTACGGCGTGGTGCTTCTCGAGCTACTCTCGGACAAGAAAGCGCTAGATCCCTCATTTTCCTCGTACGGTAACGGTTTCAACATCGTAGCTTGGGCATGTATGCTGCTTCGGCAGGGGCGTGCCAAGGAGTTCTTCACATCAGGGTTGTGGGAGGTAGGCCCCCATGACGATCTGGTTGAAGTATTACACTTAGCAGTTGTATGTACAGTTGACTCTCTCTCAACGAGGCCGACGATGAAGCTGGTCGTACGACGGCTTAAGCAGCTACAACCGCCGTCATGTTAGCGGGGACGGGCGAGCAGGCGATACAGGCATTTATTGACATAGTTAATTTGTAGAAGATTAGAGAGAGGCAGATTGTAATTTGTGTTTTCTTTCTTATGACTGCAAAAGCCACTGCCCTGGCCATAGGTTGGTTGGTTGCTTGAGTTCTAAAATTGTAAGTTAATTTTCTCTTGTAAATTCTAATATAGTTGTGCCCTCAAATTCTTTTTTTTTTTTCTATAAAAAGAAGTTTGCTGATTTGTGGATGAGGGAGAGGAGAGGGATCTGTTTGATGAATCTGCAGGCAAACAAAACAAAAGTTGCAGATTATGTTCTCATCTTCAAATGATGTTTACACGCCTGTATATCATATTACTTCTTATTTATTGTTAAATAAAAACTTATGGAATACAATTTCTCTCTTTCAAACTCCCGCTTTCATATTTTAATCGATTGACGTCAATGATATATGTTTTAATCGGTTGAGTATCTATTGAGTTCTATTGATGGTAGGTCTCGTCCAATCTGTTGACATCAATGATATATGTTTTAATCCGTTGAGTTCGATATTTCTATTGGTCGCAGGTCTCGTCCAAAGAAATGCAGGTCTGTTTTTTTCAAATCAGTACAAATAGTAAATTTTATTTACACTTTTTGATTTTCAACCGTAAATAATGATTTTTTGTTATCAAATTACTCTGGTTGAATATAATCCTATTATATTTATTATGTTATTTTAAATTTATTCTTTCTTAAAATTAGAATATTCAATTAAGGTAAATATTGACCTTCATTAATGAATTTATTATATTTTGAAAAGTGAATTACAATTTAATAATTTTTTCATTTCATGACTATAGATTCTAATCCATGCACATACTTTATTTTTCAATTGATGTTTCCATTTTTCTCTGATTATTTAATTTTTCTGTAGTGTTTCCAATTTTCTGACATTTTAAAAATATAAAACTAAAAGGTTACTAAATATGTTTTGTTTTATGTTCTTTTAAATAAATAATAAAAAATAGGTCAAACATATATAATTTTTATTTAAAAAAAAGTTAAAAATAAAAAATAGAAATCGTTATCAAACGGGCCTACAGGATAAGTTCCATACGGGGACCCATCCCCGCATATGGAGGCTTCAATTTCTTTTCTTTTCTTTTTTTAGAATATACTTATTTTCTTTCTTTAAAAATGTTTTAATCTAAAAAAATTATATAATATATGATAAATGAGTATAATTAAATTTCATTCTGTGCTGCTTTTTAAAATCCAATCAATTTTTAATGGTTAAAAAATTAAAATTCATTAATATATTATTAATATTAAGTTTCTCGCTTGTTGCTTTAAAAAGATGGCAGGGGTGCATTAGTAATAATAATTCGTAATTATTAAGAATTAAATGGTGGAGTTGTAATATCCTTCCCCATCCCTATCGATGACCCGTTTAAAATCCCTAATTTGACCCCGTGCATGGTCAAATTGAAAATTTCCTGATCGGGGTACATGCGGATAAGTCTTACAGGTTTTTTTTTTACGAAGATTTTTAAATATCTAGTGTACCACATGATCTTTTTGGTTTAGTCAATTCAACCAAATAGAAGTGAAGTCTAAACCTCAAAAACTAAAAGCGTCATCTTTTTAAACTTGAGGATGAAATAAAAATATCAAGAGGCAAAATCTCAAAGTTAAAATATGAGCCAAAATCTAAAGTCGTACCAAATTTGTTATTTGCATGTTCAATTGAAAAATACCTAGCTTTAACTAGTCAATACCAAAATTAATTATTATTATTTTTCAAAATTCTTTGTTTTACGTTCTTACCAAACATAACATTCATTCATTGTTGGAATAAAATAGACGGTGGTTGCTCGTTTAGTAATGTTTCCATTCCTTGTTCTTCGTTTCTAATTTTCTTAAAAAATTTAAGTATTTTATAACTAACTATATTTCCTACTTCTCATTTTTTTGGTAGAACATTCTAAAAATTTTGGAAACAACAAAACAAAAAGAAGTTTATTCTTTTTTTTTCCATTTTCAATTTGTTCCAAATAAATAAAAAGATGATTTTATCATATTTAAATTTTAATTCATACAATTCAGCAGAACGTTACCAAACAAATCCTAATTAGTGGAAGTATTTTCCTTTTTCTTTCTGCAACACTTCAAATGAAAGTCAAAATAGGTAAAAATCCTCACACTACTCCAAACTTGAGATAAAACTTGACTCACGCAGTTCAAGTTTGGGGGGAAATTGAATTCTCCCCGAGAAAAATAGGATTCGGGAAAACCCAAAAGATTTCGCGGTTCCCTGAAAGTTTCAATTTCGTTTGGGGTACGGAAATGGTCCATTTCCAGACCTTCAAAAGTGGCGGGAAATCGTTAGTTTTCGCTCTCGATTTTTTTCCCGCCGGAGAAGAAGAAGCTCGAAAACAAATACCACTTCGCAATCGGGAAATGCGAGCTCTTCTTCGTCTCTAGCATCTTGGAAACCCCCATCTCTTCAAGAAAAACAATTTCCACAAAATCCCATTTTCCGCTGCCGGTTCTTGAAGCTGGGCTTCGAAGATTTTGCCCAGAACTGAACTACAGCGAGAAAATGGGAAGCAAGAAGAGGGCTGCTGCCGATGACAACGAGCACAGAGCGAAACGGACCAAATCTCCTGGAGTTCGAGTCATTGGGGGCCGGATCTATGATTCTGAGAACGGCAAAACTTGTCACCAGGTAATTATTGAACTCTTAATTACTTTGTTGTTCAGTTTTTTAGTTGTTTTGAATGTTTATCGTTTCTTATTCTTATTGTTATTTTTTATTGAATGCTGAAGTGCCGGCAAAAAACCATGGATTTTGCCGCATCTTGCATGAACAAGAAAGGCGAGAAGCTGTGTACCATAAAATTTTGTCACAAGTGCCTTTTAAACAGGTTAGATTGTTGATTTCGTGTGTTTATATAGTCTTTACTATTTGATTTTCACTTATTTTTAGTGGTTATGCTCTTATTAAACGAATTTCGTGGGGATATATTAGATACGGAGAGAAAGCAGAAGAGGTGATGCTCATGGAAGACTGGCATTGTCCCAAGTGCAGAGACCTTTGCAATTGCAGCGTTTGCATGTAAGTTTGGAATTACGATTCTTACTCTTCTCTTCATCCATTTTTTATTTGATGAGCTCGGATGATCATGATCTAATTGATAATAGCCATTTTGTAGGAAGAAAAAAGGTCTTAAACCCACTGGTTTGCTAGTACACACAGCCAAAGCAACTGGGTTTTCTTCTGTCTCAGAAATGCTTCAAGTGAATGGTTCTGACTGTCTGGATCGTGATAAGAACATGATAAGCAAAGTTGCTTCACCAAAAAAGCAGGCTTCTGAAAACAAGGTTCGATTTTTTTGTTTTTGTTTTTTTAATGATGATATATATATGGTGTTAAGAAATATATAAAAGATTAAATTTACCATAATCGAGCAGGTGTTCTTGTGTTTGGACCCATGTTATTGCCATTTCTCGAAACATTCGTGGTCGAGTTATGCAGTATTTATAAAATGAGCTCTTTGTCTTTCCTTCTTGTGTCCACCGGGCCTTTTCTTGGCATGATAGCTTGCTGGTTTGTGAAACCATGACGACCCACTTTGTTCATAAGTGCTGCATTGAGAAGAAAATTGTTGCTATCATTGTCGGGAAAGGAAAGAAAAGGAGTATTGTCCTTATGCAAAAGAATCTCTCATTTTCCTACGAACTTGTTTTGTTGTAACCGAGGCTGGTTCTTTGGTTGCCTGATACCATTAATGATCTTATCACCTCTCATCTATAGGTATGAACTATTCATCTCGTAGCAAAAGAACTTAATTTCTAAACAATTTATAAATTAAACATGGATCTGCGTTGAATTTTATAAGAATTAGACAAAAACAATTATAACAGTATCAAGATTTTTGTTGGGGGAATTACAAATAACATATGAAATTGGAGTAAATATTGAGAAATAAACATGTAAACAATTAGGTTGAGGTGCAAGTATCTTGTTCTCTTTAAGGAGATTCAAGCTCTATGTGGTGTATACTTCTTTATCGACTATCGGTGCAGTAAGTCTTCTCTGGCTTGTCTCCTTCAGGAAACAACAACCCCACTAAAACGTGGTGTTGCTCAAACCACTCTATATCTAGAGGTTGAGCTCAAAGTCCCATGACAAAGAAAACTTCTCTTTTGGCCAATTGCTTTTAAAAGAGCAAAAGAAGAAAATAGAGAAAGTAGACAGTTGATAGAAAATATGTTGTATAAGTTTTATAGGTTTTATTTTGAGAGTGGTCAGAGAGGTATTAATAGGAAATTTTAGACGTAGAAATTTAACAAAAAATAAGTTATGAAATCCTTAACCTCTCTTCACCTATGTTTATCTTCTAACTTCCCAAAACTTAAACTCTTAGATTAAGTACTAAAAAGAAGCATATATTTAATTATTAATAAATATTAAAATGTAACAACAATTTTCAATCTTCTCATATTCACATGTATGTGGATCCTAATAGAACTTTCTTGTTAGACTCTATCTAGCACAAGACCAAGGTGGGTGAAAACTGCCTTGAAGACTCTTCATTTTTCAACTCTATAAAAGGAAGGGAAAATTTATCGATATCTTTTTAAAAAAGAAAAAACTTAATTAATCAAACTTGGCTTAGCTCAAAGGTCTTATCTATGTTGGGTTTGTAAGGGAAATGCAAACAAAGTCCCATATTTGCTAGGCAAGAGAATGATTCATGGTATCTAGATGAGAACAATTATCTCAATTGGTATGAGATATTTTGGGTGAAACCTAAAGCAAAGTCGTGAGGGTTATGTCCAAAGTAGATAGTATCATACCATTATAGAGATATTTGGGGTATCGTTGTCCTTAACAAGTGGTATCGGAGCTATGATCTAAGTCTAATTGTGTTGGTGAAATGCTTGGGTGTCGACAAAGAAGTGGTGAGTCTCGGAAGATGTAGTTATGATGTAATTTGTGGTTGTGCTCTATCAAGGTGTATGGAGCCTTGGATAAGATCAAATTCTCGTTTGATTCGAGAATGGACAGAAGGTTGACAACTTGAAGAGAGACTCGGTGGTACTTTGCTCGAAGGGGAATTATTGGGTTTGTAAGGAGAATGCAAACAAAGTTCCACATTAGCTAGGCAAGGGAATGATTCATGGTGTATAGATGATGACAGTTATTTCTATTGGTCAAAGTCGTGAGGGCTATGCCCAAAGTGTACAATATCGTATCATTGTGGAGATACTTGGGGTACCATTATCCTTAATAATTTATACAATTAGAGTACTATTCAAATTTATAATTTTATATTTTATATATCTTATATATTAAAATATTATTATTTGAGTTTTACACGAGTTACCTTGTCAACCAAATGTAGTAGGGTCAGACGGTTGACTCGTGATTAGTTGGGTGCGCACAAGCTGGTCCGGACACACGGATTTCAAAAAATAAATAAATTATTTTATGCATTGTAGTACTAGTTACGTCTATGAATGTAATCACAACATGCAAGTCAACTTGTCAACTTTTCACAAGTTGTTCATAATTATGAGTGTCAAAAGTCCATTTTACCCTTGGGTTATTATATCTTATACCAATGGAGTTTTGGTTGTTTTATGTGGTGTGTAATGCATGTTTCTCTCGTGTCCTACAAAAGATATGTGTATGCTACAGGATTTGCATCCAGGTTTGTTTGCCATGTCTTTGTGCTCTTTCATTTACAAAGATCACATGCTTTTTCAACAGGAGTGTGTCATGATTTCACCAAGGAAACAAGGGAAGGAAAATTATTTAAATGGAAATAATGAGTCGAACTTGAATTTGCAGAATCAAACTCCAAAATCTGATAAAAAGAAGTTGAAGGAAATGAAGCATGAAGAACTAAGAGAAATATGCAATGGAAATAAGGTTGATGTTAAATGCTCGACGAAGAGCAGTCCAACAAAATCCAGCTTAGAGGAAAGTTCTAAGGAACAAACTGAAGCAAATGGGAGGAATGGCTCTCTTCCCTCAAAGAAAAAGGGCTCTAAAAAGAAGACCTCTAAGGATGCGGCCTCTGATGTTAGCAGACCCAAAGATGCCAGAGAAAAAAACAGTCCGTGTCATGAGGATGCAAAAGCACCAGATGCTATGAAAGAGGAAGACAGGAGGTACTCAAAGGATGTTTCTAACCATCTGATTACAGCAGAAGGCACAAAAGAAGAAACAACTTTGGATATTCACAAAGATGCGAACAATAATAAAACCAGGGTCAAAGACAAGCCACTAACAATGTCCCAGGAAAATATGAAATGCACTGTGAATGGGAACAAGGAATTTGTTGCCTGTGTCTCTTTGCCTCTGGGTTCAAGGTTAACGACTGTAGCAGAGCTTGAACTGACTACAGAAGATGTTGGTCATGCCTTGCAGTTTTTAGAATTCTGTGCAGCTTTTGGAAAGGTATGTGTATGTCATTTTGGTTTCAATTAATTATTCAAGCAAAGTTATCCAATCCTCCAAAATCATTGTTCACTTTTCAATTTTTATTTTACTGCCTCAGTCATGTATTATTATGTTCTAATGGTTTTTTTTAATTAATTTCATTATGACTTAGAAGTTGCAGTCTCTTTTACTAGGAGTTCAACTGTTAACCAAATACCATCATGCTCTTTGGTATTGCTATTTTGATTTTTGATATGCATATGCTGGCCTAGTGTATTAAATAAAACTCTAATTTGGTTGCTGTAGGATCTTATGGACACTAGTTAGTGGTTTGCTATAAAAGGTGGAAGATTACTAGCCTACTTAGATCTTAATGCATTGAAGTACATGGTTTATCATTACAATCTAGTTTGCACCATCAGCCTATTTTCACTAATAAAGGACTCTTACCAAGTATGGTTGTAACACTGTAACTTTCCTGCATTTGAGCCAGAGGGAACTTCAGTTCCTTATTGAGATCAATTAATTATTTGTGCACGCCTTGGATGCTGGACTTTTCTATCTATTTGGGGCTACAACTGCAAGTGTGTGCTTTGCAAGAATGCTTAAGAGGATTTTGTGGCATTGTCAGTTCATCAGGATATCTGGGGTGTTTCTTTGAGGTGCCTTGGGTTCGTAATAGGGATTGTTGTGCTATGTTGGAAGAAGTGCTTTTATTCTTTCCTTTTTGTAAGAAGAGAAGGTTCTTGTGGCAGACTTGTTTTTGTGCTATTTTGTGGAAGATTTGGATTGAGAAAAACGAGAATCTTTAGGGGGTGGAAAGAGATAGAAAGTTTGTTTGGAGTTCATTAGATGTAAAACTGCCTTATGGAGGTTGGTTTCGAAGTTATTTTGCAACTATAAGTTAGGAGTGATATTTTGGATTGGAGGCCCTTTCTTTAGGTCGGTTTAGGGTCTCCGGTTGTTGGGCTAGTTCATTTTGTGTGCCCTTGTATGTGTTCTTTATCTTTCAATTTTTTCTCAATGAAAAGTTCGGTTTCTTATAAAAAAAATATATTTGTACATGCCTTATAAAATTGATATGTATCTAAATCCCAACAACCATAAATGGTATAGAAAATTTTGAAGACATTCAAATATGAAGTTAACCAATGATCTATGCTTAAGAGTGCAAGCAAGATAGAAAAGAGAGAAGAACAAGAAGAGAAGATTACAGGCAATGTATAGAGGTTCTCTTAGCAAAGGAAAAAAAAAGACAATGTATGAAGGTTCGAAATGAGTTTCTACGTTCTCTTTTGATTAATGGTCAATATTAACAAATGTTTTTTATTCCCTCTCTATCTATCTCTCTCTTTTGAGAACTCGCCACTCGCTAGTTTGGTCTGTGATATATCTCCAGTGTTTTCTTTAATGCCCAGAAGTTCGGTTTCTGTTAGTGTTGGGTCATATCTTACAGTTGTAAATCATCCATAAGTAAAAGAAATATTACAATAAAATTTTCTTCTTTATTACTTGTTTAATTGTATACGGGTTCATAGTTTTGTGCTTTGGGCTGGACCATTGCACCATATTTGTTGATTTTCTTTTCCCTTGGTTTCCTTTTTATTTTTGGATAGGCTCTTAATTTAAGGAAAGGGCATGCTGAGTCTGTACTCAAAGACCTTATGCGGGATAGAACTCAGAGAAGACGGGGCCGAGTGTATGATTCACTAACTGTTCGATTTCATATTCAACTCCTGTCTCTGATATTGAAGGATATGGATGAAGAGTATGGCCATAAACTGAGGCTTCTTTTATTTTTATTATTTGATATGACATATGATATAGCCTTTACCTTCATCTGTTCTTAGGTCTGCTATCTCTAGTCCCACAAATGATGGAAGCTCATGGTTGCTGGCTTTGAAGAAATGCATTTCTGCATCCACATTTAAGTTGGATGATCTCAAACCAGATTACTTTGATAGAGGTGACAGTTGCTATGATGACTTGGACTTCTCAAGAAAGCTCCGGCTATTGACTTACCTATGTGATGAGGCTCTCAATACTACGTAAGTAAAGCCATACAATATGCTATTGGAACAGGTTGGGATGTTTTACAATCTGCAAATTATTTTCAGTAGGTAAGTTACTGCGCTGATGGCCAAATTTTTATTCCTATTTTCCTCCCAGAAAATTGAGAAATTGGATTGATGAACAAAACGCTAACTTTGTTGAGGAACAAAAGGAAGCAAAAGAAAAACTTGCTGCACTGAAGGATAAGGTGGCATAAGTTAGCAGTGACGTCTACAAAGATTGTAAGTGATGTGCCTTCAATTTTAAATTGATTTTCTGTCGTTTCTTAACAGGAGAAACAAGCTAAGCACAAATTGCGAGATGAGTTGGCCAAAGCTCTTATTGCAAAGAATGGTATTCCCCTTACAATTGCAGAGCATGACGCTATTGTTTCACAAATGAAAAGAGACGTAGCTGGAGCTCAATCTGAAAGACTTGTTGAATTGGAAGTGGCATCAAAGAGTACGCTCTGGAATTCTTGCCATTTTAATTATTTGTTTAATTTAATTGGCCTGAACGTAAACGAGGAATAGGCATCATAATGCGTCAATTTTACTATGAAGGTGGTTGGGAGTTGACTAAAAAGTGGTTGCTTGGTTCAGTGAAAAAAAAGCTGATTTAAAGTGTGCTTTTTTGGTAGCAGGGTGAGCGTGAGTCCCCCAGATCATAAAAAGTGTATTCAAATACTTGTCTGAGAAAGTAAACTGTCACTATATTAATTTTCAATTTGTGTAATTGATACCAGAATCAGTTCTTTAGTTGAAACTGAAATCATGAATACTTCCGACATATAGTAAACCAGATCCATGAGATGATATGTGATTTTAATTTTGGGAAATAGTTTTCTGAAGGGATTTTTAGATAACATAATGGTTGAAAAAAGAGTGGATGATAGTGGAATAAAACAAGTTTCAAGCTCGATAAACAGTAATGAAATTCGACATGTTACATGTTTCAGATATGTAGGTGAGGGTAAACCATGGTGATGTTATGGTTTGGAATCTTCTTTCCTCTTTTCCCCATTGAGTATTCTGTATTACCAATCTGTTTTAGTGCATTGAGTCTAGTTTGTTTCTGATAGGAAGTATAGAGAGAGATGATTGTTGAATACAATTTTTTCTTCATCTTTTAACATGGCAGATATCAGTAAACTATTATTTTTGTAGGAAAACAAAGATCAGATGCTACTAGGACAGTTCCCATAATTTTGGATGCTAATGGTCGTGTATTTTGGAATTTAAGAGGCTTTGCTGGTGAAGGGAATATATTGTTACAAGGTCAGTTTAAAATCCTTTTTGTAATTTCAGCAGAGAACCTGAATTGTCACTTTTGAGTTTTTTTTTTTTTTTTTCAAAACAACTTTTGAATTCTAGATATGGAAAGCTGGGAAACAGTCAATCCAAGCGAAAAGTGGTCTATGTATAAAGGCGAGCAGAAACAAGAAATAGAAAGATACATTTCTTCTTTAAGGTGATTATTACTTTCCAATTTTGATTTGTTATGAAACTTTCACGTAGTTTAGTTCTTGTTTTCAAGTTATAACAGTTTTGATTGGACTTTTGATTCTATACATGTGTCCAAACCAATCAGAACATGATGCCAAAGATTTCTCAAATGTGTACAAGTTATTGTACTGTTTCGTTATTCCTTATATGGGATGATAGGCCCGACGGTAACAATACTAAATCGTGATTGTTTATGAAGAACATAATGTTCGATCAAATATTTTAAGAACATGGTTTGATGCTTTATTCTACTCATTGGATTTGAAATAATGTGTGATTTGAGCCTGCAGCATGTTTCTGTGCCCTGCCCTCCTTTCAGCCTCTTCTTGACTTCCAAATAAATACAACACTAACTCTTCTAAAATCTTCTTGAATATTCAACACATCTTGAATATACTGCACTAATTCCTTCCCGAAATATTTTAGAGATCGTAAATAAGTACCTTAGAAAGTTCTAGAAATATCTTAGCATAGCTTGAAATTTATGAATTCCTTTGAAATTGGTTAGATTTTCAAAGAAAATATCTAAGGTACATCTATATTTTGGATCTAATAAGAATCTAGAAAAATATTGTTAGGATCTCTTATTAGTAAATAGGAGGCTCAGTCCCTACATATTGGGAAAGTGAGTGAAGGAGTTAATGAGGATATAGGAGGCTCAGTCCCTACATATTGGGAAAGTGAGTGAAGGAGTTAATGAGGATTAGAGCCTGAGTCTGTATTCTCTTAAAAGTGACCACAGATGTTCTTAATGAATGAGTTCAAACCCTATGATGACCACTTATCTTAAGAATTAATTTTTGTGTTTTCCGATACTAAATGTTATAGGGTTAGGTGACTGTTTGAGGTGGGCGTAAGTTGGCCTGATACTCACATATATAAAAAAAAAATAATAGAACAAAAGCTTTTTCTTGAAGCGCTTCTTTCTTCTGCAGCTGATGCTTTTAAGATTATGCTTTTCTGAACTAATGATGTTAAATTGCTTCTGCCATTTGCTAATTACTGAGTCAATGGAGCTTCCTAATATAGCAATCAGTATTCTGTCTCCAAGATCTTATAGATTTTGCTGCTCAAAGATGTTTGTGTTTTGTTTTTGGGCCTTGGATCAATCCAGGATGAAGAGGCTTAGACTAGTGCAAGCAGCTCAAACTCTTCCAGATGGAAGCAGTGTGGCAGCTTCAATCTGTTGACATTTCCCATCTCTGACCCAAAAAAAATTATTTGGCACAGAGGGTAACCTTACAGCTACTCTCAGCTGTTTTTTTGTACACACAAATCATCTGAAAACCATGATTTGGTAGTAAGTTTGAAGATATTTGAAGAGGGAATCCATTGTAGGATACAACTGGTACTTAATTTGTATTGGATTTATCTCCTGCGTCGATGCCATATGTGTCGATGGAAATTTGATGCTTTGGTTATGACACGTAATTTCACAAAATGTTTTAGAAATCTGAGGATTGATTCTCTCATCACTACTGCTTTTTTCCCAAAATGTGAAAGGTACAAATGGGTGGAGAAATTTCAGGTTGTAGTACAAGTGTGGTGGAGCTGAGGAAGGCTTTATTACTGCCTCTAAAATCATTTTTCATTTCTGTAATTTTTATTGAAATTGTAATTTGGTGAAATTACAATCAGCTAGTTTAATTTTGGTTATTATATTTTAAAAAGTTTTTGTTTCTGTTATTATGCCTTACTATACCCTTTTGCGTGAAAAAAGAAAATCCATTTTTACTCCTATACATGAAAAGTTGTATTAATTTTCAAATTTTAAGTCCCATCCCATTGGACTCTAAATTTAGACAAGTTTGTTGAAATTTTTATCTTCTATTTCATTTTTCTTTTTGCTAATTTACTCGTTAGTTTTAACTAAACATTATGTAAATGATCCTATAAACTCATTAGTTTAATGAAAATCAAATTTTGCATAAAATTAATTAGTTGGAGTGATTTACAAAATCTACCATTAACAAAACTTAACAAATTTTATTAAAAAATAAGAAAAGCTCTCATGTCTTTTTTCTATTAAAAATTTGTATGTTTGATAACAATTTTTTGTTATTTGTTTTTAAAAAAACAGAAAATCAAACATGTTTGGTAACCATTTTAGTTTTATGTTTTTAAAAAGTTGGAAAATTGAAAACATAAATTAGAGAGAGAAAATTCGATGTAGAGTAGAGATGACGATGTTGTGGGTGCGAGTGAGGATGCTCTTCTCTATTCTCGTGCTGGTGAAAATTTTTAATCCTCGTCTCCACCTTGTTCTTCAATCTGAGAGATATTCTCGAGAAAAATTATCGATTTTATAATTGTTTTTAATTATTTTTAGAATTTTAAAAATAAAAAATGCAATAATATATATTAATTATTTAAAAAATGGAATCGGGGACGGGGTCGGGACATGCATTTCCTATTTTCGTTGCCCGATCTTACAGAAATTTTTGTCATCCCTAATGTAAGAGACATGAAAATACAAGTTTAGAAATATGTAAATAAACTTTTAGAAGATAAATTTTAGAGAGATAAAAAAATTATTGAAAAAAAAGTTAAAAGACAAAAAGAGAAATATTTTAGAGGAAACAAGTAAAGTCGAGAGGAATAGATATGTGGAAACAATTTAGAAATAAAAACAAGATTCAAAATATAATTTTCAAAAAATAAATACAGAGATAAATAAAAGTTATAGTGAAAGAAAATTGAACGAGAAGAAAAATATAATTTTCAAAAGAAAAAAAAGATTAAGAAAAGAAAGAAAAGTTATAAAAGACAAAATTTGAGAGAGAGAAAAATTTAAAAAAATATTAAATTTTTAGAGGGAGAAATGAAACTGATTTGTTAGAAAAAAAATAAAAAATAAAAAAACATGGAGATCCAAATTTTGGGGAGAAAAATAATAATAAATATTCAAAATATGAAAATTTTAGAGAGAGAAAAATAAATTTTGTAGAGAGAAATTTAGAAGAAGAAAAAATTTAGAGTGAAAAAGAAATTTTTTATTGATAAATATGAGAAAGAAAAAAAAGTGGAGTATTAGAAGAAAAAATCAGATTTGAAAAATGGGTGTTTTTTTTTTTTTTGAAATTTACATAGAATTTTAAAATAAGTTTTGAAAAATAAAAAATAGAAAATTGAATTGATTATCAAACAATCTGTTTTTAAAAAACTAAAAAATCAAAAATCAAAAACTAAAAATGAAATAGTTATCAAACTGGTCCTAAATGTTTCAATTTGAGTTCCTTGAGTTCCTACGATTTTAATATCAATATTGAGTTACCAATGCCAAGCCTAATATTAAAGATTTTTATTTATCAATTGAACACTTTTTTTTTGAAGAAAGATGCATTTAATTAAGCCACTAGGGCAACGGTTGAAAGGGAATCCCCTTTTACAAGATCCATTAACCAAGAGGGGAAGGGAAACTGCCATAAACACGAGGATGAGGCCGAAATTGCCCATTTGGCTAAGGAATGCGCACAAAAATTACATGAACGGGGGGAGTGCATGAAAGAAATTGATTCGAAAGCTAGGGCTATCGATCGAATTTCCATAATCCAATTCATTTCTTCTCCCATCGTAAACAGATCTTCTTGAACGAGGCGAATGGCTTCTTGGCAATCAAATTCTACAACCAGACGAGTGTAACTCCGTGAGGCAGCGAGTTTTAAAGCTTCCAAAATTCCTCTGATTTCGGCAAAAAGAGGGTTCAATGGAATCGACAGAAACACTGATTTCGCTATCAACAAAACCCCCAAATGGTCTATGATAATAAGACCTAGCCCTGTTGATGTAGAACGGTAGGCTGCATAAGAGTTCACCTTCATAGCTGAGTCGCGAGGAGGAAGCCAACGACAAGATGGGAGAGGGACCGAACTCTGCTGCGGTGAGATTCTCTTATTTTCTTGAGCCTGTGAGTAATTCTGAAAATAAGAACTAATCCAATTGCACCTTAAAAGCAGGGGTGGAGACAGAAGTACCATGGGCCATAGAATTTCGATTTATCAATTGAATACTTAAAAATGGTAGACTCATCACATCTTGAATTCATGCAGTTGCCAACAATGCCCAACCAATTATGTATACTTCTTCTTATTCCTCAATTTGAGAGTAAAACTGACCTAAAAGACATAAATAAATATTCGTTTGTTAACGTTCGTATTTTTTGTTCCTGTTTTTTCTTCATTTTAATAAAGAAAAATAAATTACATGGTCCCAACATCAATGAATTCAAGTATGATAAAATAATATTTTTATTTATGTTTTGAAACAAAATTGAAAATGGGAAAGAAAGTAGAAACTTGTTTTGATTGTTTCCAAACTTTCAATACAATTTTGAAAATGTTCAGAGAAAAAGAGGAGAAATAAGAAACATAGTGAGTTGCAAAATGCTTAAATTTCTTATGAAAATAAAAAACGAGAAACAAGAAACAGAAATATCATCAAACGAACCCAAAGTAACTAGAAAATGAACTAGAATATCATCCATATATGAGCGAATAGATAATAGAACACGTAGTCGATTTTTCTTCCACACACAACTCATCAAAGACCGATATTAGATTTTCATCATCTACAAACTTTTTCCTCTTTCTTTGGGGAAAAAAGTTATCCTAAAAGCATGTCAGAACAATCTACTATTTTTGGTAATGAAAATTATATATATACATAAATAAACAAGGCTAAGATAAATCAAGGGTTCAGAAAATAGGTTCAAACTCTATAATAATGACCACTTACATAGGAATTAAATTGTCTCTATATTTATTTGGTAACCAGATATAGTAGAGTCAATTAACATCCCTGAGATTGATAAGAAAACAAGTTGGGAAAGGGATGTAAGAGAAAGGCAGGGAAAAGAGGAAAAAAAATAAAAGAAACAAAAGTCACATAAGAAAAAATTAATTAAAAAAAATCGACCATTTAAGAACATTTCCAAATTTTAAGGACCAAAAGTGTATGGATGACCACCTACCTTAAAAATTAGTAATTCCGACGTGTTTTTCTATACCAAATGTTGTGAGGTCTGACGATTGTCCCGTAAGATTAATCGATATGTATGTAAATTGGTCCATATATCCATAGACATAAAAAAAAAAAAGAAATCTCCTGGACCAAAATTGAATTTGCCCAAATAAACATACATGTGTATATATAACTTTTTCTAAAATGGCTGACTGTAAATGTCAGCCAGACAAAGCTGATGGCTGAGAACAGTTTTGACCCTCTTAGCTGCTGAGGTGGCAGACAAAGACCTTCAAAATCCCAAACCCAATCCAGTACTGGGTGGGGTCCACTAAGATTTTTCACATGTGGTCGAAAGGCCAATAGCAGTGCAGTAATGCAACACGTGGCATGATCTTAATGGATTAGCAGAGATAAGGCAGGATTACCTAGATTCTTTAAACCCCAAATGATCTTTAACAAAACAAATCCCATGCAATTAATGAACTCCAAAAGCCTCTGCAAACTTTTCAAAACCTCTCCTTGTAATGGCTGTTGTTCCAACCATATACTATGCCCGATATCATAACGACTCGATCAATCCAATCCAAATCATTTTCGGGTCGAACAAGCTAGCCTACAACGTTTGCGCGTGCAGTCCCGTTTTAAAGAACCCACCAAGTATTTTGAACCGCAAACAATGGCCGGAGATATCGAGTTACGGTCCGTCTGCCATTTCGATCACGGCGGAGACAAGAAAGTCTAGAAGAGGGTTTGAGCCACATGCTTGGGAGTGTAGCAGTACCAATGAGAAACAGTTGAGATCATTGGGCTCCTATTTTGGAAGGCTCAAAGGTGGTGGAAATAAGAGAAAATTTGATTCTTTGGAGAAGATTGAGGTGCTTGATACTGGTCAGTTCACAGCAAAGAAGGAGCTGCAATTGCTTGATGATTATTTTGAAAAAGTTGATAAAGGTAAATTCTTTTTTGATATATATCCACATCATAGGGAATGCTATATTGTTGATCACTTTAATCTCTCTCTACAGACACGCACATTAGAAATCACTTTTGGTTCAAATACTTTCATTGAAGTAACGATCTAGTCTCTAAAGTTTAGTTCATATGCTTTCAAATTTGTAACAATTTTAGTCTCTAAACTTTAATATGTAACAATTTAATTCTTGTAGTTTATAATTTGTAACGATTTAGTCCCTATTGCATGAAAAATGTTGTTAAGATTTAGCGAAATTTCTTATATATATAGATCAGTAAATAATGAAGAATCAAATGTGTTTATAAACTACAGTGCCTAAATTGCTATATAATGAAAATCGACACTTAATTTTAATAATATTTTCACAGTAGGAACTAAATTATTGTTACAAATTTGAATTTGTCTTAAAAACCTTATACCTAATCAAACATAACCCATGTAGGTTTAAATATATATTTTTTCTAAATATATACAAAATGTTTGTGAGGTCGGGGATCAAAATGAAACCGACGTGAAAGTTCAAAAACTAAAATAGGATTTGAACTTAATTAAATTAACTCACGATTTTAAATCTTGACTTCTATTATCATGATGCTCTACTAAAATTTTAAAAATTTATCAAATGTTAATCAATTTGATAGGTTATGATCAATTTAATCAGTATATATATTTAATGTACAGTGATTTTGAAAATTACAAAAAATTTCAATTATCAAGTTGGCTGATGAAGCTTTTAGTACCTTCCTTTGTTCTTAATCCCCAAACACCCTTTCAATATCTTGCAAATTGAAACTATTTCTGAATATGGTATCTATAATCCCTACAGATAAAGACCTGCACAATCATACTCTATCTGCTTTTGATGAACAAAATGAAGGCAAATTGTTCTTCACATCATCCCCTTTTGAAGATCAAGAAGAAAATACACCGATACGACATGAGCGATTGAATGATACGATTAGCACAACCGTCCAAGAAGACGAAATCAGTGACCTCTACTTAATGTAAAGTTCAAACTTAACTCATAAGATTTACATATTGATTTTTAAAATAAGTAATTTTAAGCTAAGTACATTGAAATTTTGAAAAATGCTTTGAAACTCGCTTTTTTATTGATGTTCGACGCATAATATATGGTCTAATATGGTTGCTAACGCTACCGTGCTCGGTTTTTTTCCTTTCTTTTTTTGAATGCAGAAGTAGCTTGGTTTCTGTAAACATAGCGGTTTTCTTGTTTGAAATAGCAAGTCCAGTAAAAAACTCAGAGCTGCAACTCTTTTCACTCCCCTCTGTATATGGAGCAAAGATAAATGAGTTGATTCTTGTAGGAGAGTGGTGGAGGCTTGTGACGCCTATGTTTCTGGTACAAGATTGATATAAACTCGGTTCGTGTTTCTGTTCTAGATCTGTTTTCCGTGTTTATAGTCTATCGAAAGCAGTTTTCAAACTTCTGAAAACACTTAAAAATGCTTTGATTATTATTTAGGACATGTTTGGAAGTGATTTTAGTATAAGTAGAATCACTTTCACCTATGTCAAAATTACTTCAATTTTAATAGGTTGTTATTCTAACGGTGTTTATAGGATTGAGACGATGAAGTGCTTTTTCACCTATTCAAAAGTCAATCCAAACTCATTTTAAAAGAGTTTGCTCTTGCAATTAAACTGCAAATCTTTGCTAAAATAAACACGGTTAAATTACAAATTTAGTCCTTGAACTTTAGAAGGATCGTCTTTCAATAGATCCCTGAATTTTAAATAGTGTCTAATATATTTTTAAATTTTTTATTTTGGGTAGATTCTTAAATTTTCAATTTTGCATGTCAATTAACAATTTGTTTTTTTTTAATTCAAAGTCCTGATAAATACAAGATTAAAAGTTGGATTTTCTTAGACAAAATTAATTTAATGTCTAACAGATTTGCTATTTTAGAAGATGTTGAATATGTTATAGACTTATTATTAGACATAGAATCGAAAGTTTAGAGATTTATTAGATGACACAAATTTTAAATACAGCGGACCCATTTCATGTTGAAAATATTCTTTTCTCTTATATATTATCAAATTTAAGATCCTTTATATAATTATATTGTTAATAATGGGACTAATTGTAATGTATTTGAAAAAAGCTTTTTTTTTTTTTTTTTGACATTTAACATGTGTTGATGCAGCATTCAGGAGTTTTTCATGTTGGTCTCAGTTGTTGGGCACTTCTTACATTTGGTCGTCAAGTTTGCAGAGAATATGGTCCCTTTACATTTTTCTTGATCTATGTCTTGGGAGGAGTTTCTGGCAATTTCACAAGCTTCCTCCATACTCCCGAGCCGACGGTTGGTGGCACGGTAAACATTCTTTTCTCGATCTCGAGATCGATAAATTCATTTCCATGTTTCATAAGCCAGTCCAGACGCTCACGATATTAAGAGAAAAAAAGGACATCTTTAAACATGTCTGACAAATTCAATGTTTGGTAACGTTTGTATTTGTCGTATTTATTTTCCTATTTTTCAATCAAAAAACATAATTTAGTTTGACAACCGTTCCTTATTTCTTTTTCTTTTTTATTATAGAATTATATTTGGTAACCACTTCTAGTTTATTGTTCTCTGAAATTTTAAATGAAAAAAATTAAAGTTTTAATATGAAAGTTAAATTTCAAATAAAATATTCAAAATTTACATTTTATATTTATTATGTATTTTATAAGTAAAAAGTGATAATATAATGTATTTATTTATGTTTTGGAAAAAACTAAAAACAATAAACGAAAAACTTGATTTCGTTGGTGTAACTATATGATCACACTTTGTGCAGGGGCCTGTGTTTGCCATGATTGGAGCTTGGCTTAGTTACCAATTTCAAAACAAAGGTGTGATTGCAAAGGATGTTTTAGACAACATGTTTTTAAAGGCAATAATTGCAGCTGTCATCAGCTCAATTTTAAGCAATATTGGTCCAATTGATGAATGGTAACTAAAACTCTCTCCTTCCAAACTAAGGTCTTATCGTTTAATTTGTTTTGTTCTCTCTAAAAATTAAGCCATTTCTACTTGGATGTTTCTTTGTTTTGTTATCTACTTCGTTTACATATTCGTAAAATTTGAAATAAAGCATTGTTTGATAATTTTTAGATTTGTGATTTTTAAAATTGAGCTTACTTTTTCACAATTTCATTTTTTAGAAGGTAATAATACACAGAAACTCAAGTAATAGTAGTGTTAGAAGTTTAATTTAAAAAAAAAAGAAAATGAAATGATTATCAAATAGGACTCACAAATATGACCCAAGTTTTTTGTTTTTGTTTTTTTTTTTAATTTTCATTCAAATTAAAGGTTGAGTACGACCCCTAGTAATGAGTTTGAGATGACTTTTGAAAGAAGTGATTTTGGGGAAATATTTTTTCTATAAACACTATTGGAAGAAATCTTGAAGGTAAGTTTAGAGCGTCTTCTTAAAAAAAAGTACTTTTTATAAACACTTTTAGTGTACTTTTAAGTGGAATACTTCTTCTACAAACACTCTTAGGAAAAAAAAACACCATCGTGTTTCCTTTAAAAGCAAAATAATTTTGATTATTTTCAAAATCACTTTGAGTCTTTTCAAACCCACTCGAAGAAGTCACTAATGTTTCACCCAATTGAATGTTGTAGGACCCATACAGGAGCCGCGTTTAGTGGGATGGTGTACGGGTTTTTGACACCCCCAATAGTAGAAGTGGACGATTCTTCTTCTTCGTCTCCTTCCTCAAGGAGAGGCCAACAAGAGGGAATCAAACTTGTTAGAAAGTATGCTGATCCTTGCAAATCATTTGCATTTTTTGCTCTCTTCATTTTGGTATTCTTCTCTTTGCCCTTCTTTATTCAACCTCCTCCCACCACATTCCCATTAAATCTATGACATTTGGGAAGTTTTAGTTCAAGTTTGGGTGTGGTTTTAGAGCAAAATAATTAAGCAACTCTATGGTGTATGAGTTTGTAAGGCCATGATGTGTAGGCTATGATTTTTTAACTTTCAAAAGTTTTATTTTAGTTTGTTACTTTAATAGTTGTAATAATTTTGTATTGACATCCAATATCTATTCAACTAAATGTAGCTTCAAATAGTTGTCCATGTAAACCATTGTCTTATTGAACAAATGAATAAAAAATATGCATAAGTAAAATTTTTATTATATAATTAATAAAAAAAATATTGATTCAATTTTATGTTTAATAAATCAACGTATAAGAAGGTCTAATAGATCCTAAACTTTCGATTTTATATCTAACATATTTGACATTTATTAAAACTTTAAGATATTTCAATTTTATGTCTATTAAGTCTCTAGATTTTAAAAAATATATTTAAGTCAATGACTTAACAAGCATAAAGTTGAGAGTTTAAAAATTTTTTAGACAATCTTCAAAGTTTGAAAATTCTTAGAAGTTCATATTCATTTAACCAATGAATTTTTTAACATAAAGTTCAAATGTTGCCACATGCAAGAGACAACTATGCCTGCCATTAATCTCGAATATGTTATGAAAGAAAATGAACCATACCATTCATCTCAAATATGTTATGAAAGAAAATGAACCATCCACAAAAGGATTCGATATCAATTTCCACAAATATTTCCAAATCGACATTGACTTCTACCATCAATTGCTACCAGACAGCCACCCTTCCACCTTCTCAACTTTTTTTTTTCTTTTTCTTTTGATGTTCGAGTGTGTCCGGACTAATTTACACCCACCCCAGACTAAACTCACAAAACAACCATCTAATCCAACAAAATTTGGTGTCGAAAAACACAGAAATTTACTAACTCCTAAATTCACAGAAATTTACTAATTCCTAAATTTACAAATAGGTTGACCATCATAGACTTTGAAGTCACTCTTTAATTAACCTGACCCCTTTACGCTTCCACCTTCTCAACTTGTTAAGGAATAAAAAATTCAAGAACCCTCAATTAACCCTTGATCTTCCGCCTTCTCAACTTAATAAGGAATCAGAAGTTTAAGAACCAAAATAGTGAGGGAAAAGACAGATTTAAACCAAAAAATTGCGATAGATTTACGAGATGAATTATTGAAACACGATGTATATAGAGACAGTGAAGAACAGAGAGAGCAATTTGTTTGAACAAAAAATCATGTTCCATAGCAGCACACTCAAAACACCAGACATCCAAATTCATCTCATAAACAATAAAAGCACATTTATACTCTTGTTGGAGTATTCTTCAAAGGCCCTAAAAGTGCTTCCAATCCATCCAGATCTCGCACTCAAAAGCCAAACCCATCAACCAAACACATTTCATTCATTCAGAACTACCAACAACCCACGTACCACTAACAACACTAAAACAGGGTCGCGACATTTCAAGAGGAAAAAAAAAGGTACAGAGTACGACTCCTATCAACTCATCAACAAGGCAAACTACTGTCCCTCCCCTGATTCGCGTTTTGATGCTTCCTTAATCTCATCTCCAGCATCATCCTACAAAAATTTTGCCACAATTCATCATCATGTTATGATTCTACTAGAATATCGGTATCTAAATTCAGACCCAACAGCAGCAGAGGAGCACACACACTTTAGTTTGGGTTAATGTGTCCGTGTATGACACTTGTTGTCTACTTGTACAAATTGAATATGAATACAAGACTTGTTAGACATGTATTGAACACTTATCTAGCAAGGCAAAATCTTCAAGACAGTACACTAGATTAAAAAAATGCATATTTAATAAATGTGACAATGCATATTTAATAAATGTGTCATGTCACATCCGTGTTGTGTCTTGTGTCCGTATACGTGTTGTGTCTTGTGTCTGTATACTGTGCTAACATATACGTGTTGGTGCTTAGCACAGCCGGCGGCCCCAAAACATGACAGGACATGACTACAAACTTTTCCTATCATGTCATCAGTTCTGGCAGTTTCACAAGCCAGCTCATGCGTACGGTGTACCACATTGCTCTAATATAAAAACTTGGGAATTTGAGGCTTGTGGCTCATCTCATGGATCTAGTTTCTCTATTCTGGATCTAGAGATTGTTTAGAGCAGAGAAAAACAATAAAACACAGACTGTTTTGGACATCATTTAAAATCCAGGTTTTTCAAGGCAGGTGCACAACGGTAAAGAAACCAGTAGTTGGGGAAACAGAAAGGAAGAGGAGTGGCAAGTTATTTTTGGGAAACAAAATCGAGTAGCCAATGCGTGTTAAGGCTCGTGCACGAGCACATTACTAACCGTTATATCAGAAGTCCAAAGGGTCAAGTTGTCTCGGAGGAGTTGCATGATCAAGGTGCTATCCTTGTATGATTCTTCACCCAATGTGTCAAGTTCAGAAATTGCTTCATCAAAAGCCTATTTGGAAAACAGAATTAAAAAAACCTCAATCAGTCTCTTGTTTGTGTTTGTGTGCTTTACTTTTGAAAGAAGCACACAACAAAGCCAGAAATCCACCGCCAAAAAAGGGGTCCTCCGTATTTCCATCTATAACAACTTATGATAGAATTAACCAGAAACCAATCATCAAATAAATATAACATTCTGCATAATTGAACTGCCACCAAAGCTTGAAGTTCAGCATTACCTGCTTTGCCAAATTGCAAGCACGGTCTGGCGAGTTAAGGATCTCATAATAAAATACTGAGAAGTTAAGAGCGAGACCGAGCCTAATTGGATGAGTAGGAGCCAATTCAGCAAGTGCAATATCCTGTATTAATGGTTGACAATCATCAGTACAAACAGTGACAAAGTGTTCCTAGAAGCACCATCAGGCAATAGAAAGGGTAATATGACGAGGGGAGAAATCCAAGGCGTGGTCAAATTAACCTGAGCAGACTTGTAGGCTAATAACGTGCTCTCAGCTGCTTCCTTCCTCTCAGATCCAGTCTTAAACTCGGCCAGGTACCTGTGGTAATCACCCTTCATTTTGAGATAAAACACCTTTGACTCAGCAGATGAGGCTGATGGGATGAGATGAGACTCAAGTAGGCTCAAAATCCCATCACAGATCTTGCTCAACTCATTTTCGATCTTGCCACGGTACTCCTTGATAACTGAAACATGGTCCTCATTTCCCCGACTCTCTTCCTTCTGCTCAATGGAAGAAATAATCCTCCACGAGGCCCTCCGAGCCCCGATAACATTCTTGTAAGCAACAGATAGGAGATTCCTCTCCTCAACAGTCAGCTCCTCGACATCCACAGTCTTGGCAACTTTCTCCATGAACTCCACCATTTCCTCATATCGTTCAGCCTGTTCGGCCAACTTGGCCATGTAAACGTTTTCCTCCCTCGAAGAATCAACCGGCGACATCTTCACTGTATCAAACTATTAATTCTCTGCCCCCCACAAACACAAGCAAAAGAAGAGAAAGAACAGATCAGATCACATACATTGCAATACGAGTTCTCATAGTTCATGGATTAAGATCTAATTCACTCAAGAGTACCGATATCTCGAACCCTTCCATTAATATCTTTTTTAGGGAAAAAAAAAGAAGATGGAATCATAAACCAGTAATCCAGACGAGCACTCTAAATTCAATCTTACATATAGCAACACAACAACTAAGCATTTACCCGCTAATCGCACCCTAAGAGAACAGAATAAAAAAGCATATTCCAACAGAATTCCATACTACACTATCCAAGTCTCATTTTCATCAATCGGGAGTCAAATTAAGCAATGAAAAACAGCCCACATATACGAAAATCACGATCAAATAATCAAGAAATTCCCAAAACAGAAAAGGCAACAAACTTTTTAAAAGTCACCCTCACGCAAACCCTAGATCTCGACATCCAACAAGAAAACAGGAAAATAGGAAGAATCGAACCGGATAAAAAAATCGAAAGAAAAGGGGGAAAAAGATGAAATCCGCAGCCTGAAGCGAAACCCTAATGCAAAGAAAAGGAACGAAGAAATCAACAAGTGGGAGATGAAAAAGGTGGGATTTTTACCTCGAGAAAATCGAGCCCAGGAGATGGAGAGAGAGAGAAAGAAATTAGCAGGAAATGAGGAGAAGGGTTGCGAGGGGTTTTAAAATGGTGGGTTGGGGAGAGTGGTCCAATAGGAAGACGACACGTGGTGGGTAGTGGATTGCCACGTTGGCGTTGACTGTCAACGATCTGTACTGCGTTGTACTTTTTTTATTTGGGTCGCCGGCTCCTTGGAAAAATCGGGGCGATGTTTTTTTTAATGGATTAAATTACCATATTAGTCCTCTCCTCAATAAGCCTTGTATGTTGGAAACTTGGAACTTTCTATTTTTTTGTTTCTTTCTTTTTTGTGTTTTTTGTTTCAGGTTTCTTTTAATAAATAAAAATATAATTTTTTCTTTCTTCTTTATTAATTCTTTTTTATTATCATGGAAATCATTATAAAAATAGAAGAAAGGAATATGTATTTATTCTTAAAAAATAAAATAAATGGTAAACGTAGACAATCACATTAGACCAACTAAGACTCACTTTTGTGACATGTTTTAAAAAATAAAAAATAATGATATTTTTGTAAATACATATTTATTTAATCTCATTTAGTATAACTTCAATTATTATTTCTAGTTTCTTTTTTCTAAAAATTTAAAATTGAAAAATTAAAATTTTTATATAAAATTTAAAATTTCATATTTATTATGAAATTTATGAGTCAATAATCATAAAATAATGCTGTTTTTGGGGAAAAATTGAAAGTGAAAAAAAAATTTTGAATTTTTTTTTATAATCCAAAGTGAGAAAATGAAAAAAATATATAAAAAAAATATGAACCCGTACAATTTTGAGAATGTTTCTAAAAAAATGTGAAACGAAAAACATAAATAGTTATTAAACTCTTATGCTTCTCAAAACTTAAAACGAGAAATAAGAAACGGAAATATCACTAAACTGGTCATGAATTTTCGAAGTAGCTCTGAAATTATCTAGTAGATTCTTGAAATTTCAATTTTATGCCTAAGTTTCTAAACTTTCAATTTTACAATTAATACGAACTTGAACTTCAAAAGTATCATAAAAGTCCTAAAATTTTAATTGTGTATAATAAATCTTTAACTTATTAAACATTTTCATGAACCTATCAAATGAATACCTCTAGAATCCAATTGGGCACAAAACAATAAAATTTCAAGGTCTAAAATTAAAAAAATACTATATCCATATTTGACACTTTTAAAATTCATAGAAATATAAAATTAAAAATTTAAGGATCCATTAGATACCACCAGACTAAACTTAAATTTAATATTTTTTCTCCATATGTTTTGGTGCTTTTGTTTATATGGTTTCTCCCTCTTTTTTTTTCCTTTTAATTTGATGCTTAAGTTTTAAAAATTTAAATGAAATATTTTGTATTTTAACATTTTTTAATTATACTATTTTCATTAAATTAAACTTAGCTGATAATATATAACATGGTTTTTTTTTTAATTTGTCTTTTAAATAGCTGTCTATTGTCATTGTCAAATGCTTGGCTGGAGCCACGCGATTTCGATGTGTCTGTCCCACGCCTTTGCTCTGAGTAAAACTCTAAAAATTAAGGGGGAAAAAGAAATCATTTTCCCTTTCTGATAAATTTGACTTAACTACTTTTTTTTTTTTTTTTTTCTCTCTCTCTCTTTTGAGATTTTGAAAAATACATGATTTTAGTTCCTAGGATTAACTATATCTACCGAAGAATTTATTGGAAACTAAGGCTATATGCAATTTCTCCTCCCAGCTATATCCAACGAACCAAAATCAATCACACACAATAAGAGATTAAAGAAAAAAATAATAATGACATAAAGTTTTATATATATATATGTGTGTGTGTGTGAGTGTTCGAACCAGCTTACGCACACCTCGACTAATCTCACGGGACCCTACAACATTTGGTGCTAGGAAACAGACACAAAGACTTTAGTACTGGTTCACCTAATAATAGCTACATCCAGTCTTCCGCTCAAATGCGGGTTCCACTAATATGAGACTGGCTCAAGCGCTCACGAGTATCTCCTTCAGATATTCACCTTTTAGAGGTCCCAATAAAAGTCATCTAACTTTTAAATATTCTAACACATTACACTTAGGTAAAAGAATGAAAAACTCACAAGAATCAAGATCCTCGAATATGTCGATCTTGATTTGTATTACTCTATTGTCCATACCTCGAGCCACTGCCTTTGAATCACCACATATTCTCTCTAAAATCAGCTGCCCAATATGTTTTCTGCCACTTGAAAATCTAGTAAAACTGCGAACTTGTATCATCGGCATAGCACCATGGTGCTATGAACGGAAAAAAGAACTGCGTGCCCCATATCGCGACAACACCGCGGCGCTACCTTCTTGATTATCATGGCCTGTAGCTCCGCTTCTTCGATAATTTTTCATTCCTATTTCGTCTTGACTTGTCCCTGACTCGTTCCCACATCGATTTGGCTCCACCAATCCTAACAGAATCTATTAGGCAACCTAGGAGGGGAGTAGCACAATGGTACTGTTATAAGAGGTCTTGTAAATATTTCGAGCTAACCAACTTCAAAGATCAAAATCGATCTACATAATGACCATAGGGTTCCACTTGTCAGTAAGAAGGAGAACCATACCTATCAAATTAAGGCAAGTTGCTTTTCAACTCCCCGCTGACCACTAGCTAGATTTCCGCCGTTCTTCACCGCCGTTTTTGACCAAACGTGCGACGTGGTCGAAAAGCAATTCTAACCATCCAACATCTATAAATATCATAGGTAACTTCATCCTCAAGTACACATAATTCTGGCTACTAATTTTACAATAAACACAGTTTCGCCTAAGACTAACTTGAGCATCAGAGTATTCATTATTGTTTAGGTCCCGTTTTGGATTTGTTCAATGTTGGAGGATGAGTAACAATATTCCATGTGTTGTGGGAGGTTTTGTAAATATTTCGGGCAACCTACCTTAGAGATCAGAACTAACCTACGACATGGCTATAAGGTTCTGCTTGTTGGTAAGAAGGAAAAGTCGACATATCGAACTAAGGAAAGTTGCTTCTCAACTCCTCAATCACCACTAACGGTAGATTCCCGCCGTTTTTCATAGAACGTGCGATGTGGCCAAGAGCAATTACAATCATCCAACATCTATAAATACCATAGGTAACTCCATCCTCATGTGTGGTCGAATCTAGCTACTAATTGTATGGTAAACAGTTCGACCTAACTAATTTGAGTCTCGGAGTGTTTGTTATTGATTTGCAAGTCCCATTTTGGATTCCTTCAATATTTGAGGATGTGTAACAGTATGCCACGTGTCAAAAGATGTCTTATAAATATTTCGAGCTAAACTACCTTAGAGATCAAAATCGACCTACCGAACTAAAGAAAGCTACTTCTCAACTCATTCTAATTTCTCAAAACAAAATAAAAACAAGACAGATTTTCAAGGGTAATGTGATTTACTTAGTCACACCCACGCCAAATTTCCTTCTTTGTGAATATTTGAAAATTCAGCTCTAAACCCGACCCATTTCATCAATTAGATACAATATAAATGTTATATGGGGACTTACAAAGTTTTTTTGAGGGGTTAAGTAAACAAATTTCTAGAAGTTTGGTGACCGAACTTATAGTTGAGCCATCATATTAACTATTAGTATATTTATTTTTATATGTGATCATTTTTTTTATAACTGTACCATATAAAAAAATGATTGCTAGAGTTAAAATTGATGTCTTATAAAAATATGGACATGTTAATAGATATTGGTCGATATTTTCTTATTTGATTACAACATAGCACCTAACCTACTACGGCAGTTCGATATAACAAATGTGGAGATAGAGGATTGAACCTCCAACCTCAAGAAATAAGTAAGATCTCTTAACAGTTGAGTTGAGCTGAACTTATGTTAGTCTTAGCTTAACAATGTTTCCAGATTTTTTTTTTCTTTTTTTTGAGTTGGGTTATTCAAAACAATTTAAAAAGATTATTTTTAAAAACCATGATTGTTATTATGTAACAAGCAGGTATTAAATTTCCATTGACTTATTCATATATCCATGAGTTCAACATGAACACGAGAGATAAATCAACATTTCCATTGTATCGAAAATATTTAACAAAACATAAAGAAAATATCAACAAAATTGACATAATATTAATATTAATAAATTTTAACTAATTTATATTTGTTATGAATTTTTTATTTTATAATTTTTTTAAAAATATTTATCAATATCGACATTTTATCGATATTTTCATAAATTGAGATTTCGAAATTGTCATCGATATGAACATTTAAAATTCTGATAACTAATAGGTGACCTCAACTATCCTAAAATACATAAAATCATTTGTGAGAACACATTAAAATAAATGTAAACAACCAACGAACAAGGTTTTTTTAGTGCAATAATATGTGAGGGTAGGAATCGAACATATTACATGCCTTAACCAACGATCAAAGAATAGTTATCGTTCCCTAGTTTCTAGCCAGTTATATCGCTACTAATATAAAATGCTTAAAATTTTACCATCAAAATAGAATGGTACAAAAATTCAAGAACCAAATTAGAATCAAAACTTTTCCTACATCAATTAAGAAGATCAATAATGTCAAGAAATAAGCGTCTCAGGAATAATGTGAAATGGGAAAATAGTCAAAATTCAATCTTACTTGACTAAAAAAAGCAATGAAAATAATTAGTTGACAAAGAAATGGAAAATTCTTAAATAAAAATTAAAAATCACCATCATATGACATCCTCTCACAGGTTGAAGTTGAGAATGCCCAAGTAACACAGCCACCAACCATTTAAAATCCATTGCATAAACATTTTCTTTTTCATGTTTTGTTAAAGGTATTAGTTTTTAATGGCCAGTTGCCAATATAATCATTTGACTAAAAATAATAGCAAATTTAGTACGAGATAAAAAAAACCGTAAATATGACATAATTTTCGAAAAAACTGATCAACATATATTATTATTAGCCACACACGTCTATCAGTGATAGACATCCATAAATATCTATCAATATAATGTATGATGGACTGTATCAAAAGTAGACATTGTAGACATAGACACTAATAGACGTGATGTATGATACATAGATCCTACTAAGTACTAATGATAGAAATTGATTTGTCTATAAGTTAGACAAACATTATTATAGATGCTGAAAGATGTGTAATAGACTCTGTCATTTGCAAACGTAACAAAGCTATTTGTCACTCATTGCATTCTCTTTTTTAATATCAAATTTATTTAATTTGTTTTATACAGTTGCTATATTTGAAACTTCTTTTGAAATTAGTGTCAAATTATAAAATTCAAACTAGAACTTCAAAATCTGTTTTGTAAATAAAGAAATTGGTATTAGGTGTCAGAAAAACATTTTGATAAAACTGAAAACAAATTCATACAGCGTACCTGCATATGTATGCTTTAGCAGGCACAGAAGAAAACACTAACTGTAGAGAGGCTCAACATAGCTACACTACAATTCCTCCATGTTTGTTTTCATCACCAGCATCACCTTAGCTGCAGACTCTGCCAAAAATACCACACAGAAATGACGGGTTAAATTACAAGTTTAGTAATTGAACTTTCAAAGTTGTATGTAATAGATCCTGAACTTAGCTTACAAGATACGTACTATCTCTATCTTGGAGTCAAATGAGCTTCCAGGAAGAACAGTACTTATAAACTTAGCTAGCAGATAACCTTGAGTCTAAAGGTTGTATCTAATAGGTTTATGAACTTAACTTTTACAAGATACGTACTATCTAAATGATTTGACTACCACCTTACATCTTTTATCTTTTTACTCCTTGTTGACACCGGCATTGCTTGGAACTTCCTTGCCTTAAGCCTAGCTGCCTTGTGATCTCGTCCTTTCGAACCACCTTTTTCTTATTTTACGACTTGCTTTCCTTATATTGCTTCAAACGAGATGTCTACCACCTTACATCTTTTTACTCCTTTTTGACACCAGCATTGCCTGAAACTTCCTTACCTTAAGCCTAGCTGCCTTGTCATCTCGTCTTTTTGAACCACTTTTTTCTTACTGAGATGTAAAGCCTAACCTTACCCAATAGATCTTTGCAATTGTATTAAACACATCTTTAAACTTAAAAAAAATGTCTAATAAATTATTCAACTTTCAATTCGGTGACTACTTTGATTTATTAGACTAATTTTCAGAGAAATTCTTTGACCTTCCAGTTTTGTATCAAAAAGTCCCTAAAATTTGAGAAACGTCTAATCCAAAAACTTCCCAGACTAAACTTGAGAGTTAACCAAAATAGCCACTGACAAAGTAAAATCATAAATGATAACTACAGGTGGGTGTGGAGTTCAGTATAGGTCAAAGTAGTTAGGCATCAGTAGCAGATTTTTATTTGAATTGGCTCTCTTTTTGTAAAAGAAAAAATGAAAACAACAATAAATCACTGCATAAGGGAAAACAAGTCCTAAGAGATTTATTGTTCTTCATCCTTTTGCAACTCAATTGGCTGGCAACAACATCAACCCACAGAACAAATATTCAGTGGTTGAAGACAAGAATTGCCCAGGATTTCTAAAGCCGTTGGAAAAATATGAACAAACCAGAACAATTTTTACTCCATGACTGCAACTCCTCCAGCAGCTTTGATTTTTTCAATGATGTCGTTCGCCTCCTCTTTGGTCACCCCTTGCTTAAGAATTGCAGGTACTTTCTCCACCAAATCTTTTGCCTCCTTCAGACCCAAATTAGTGAAGGACCTCACTTCTTTAATCACCTTAATTTTCGCGGCTGCATCGAACTTCTCTAGCTTCACGTCGAAAGCAGTTTTTTCCTTTTTCTCCTCCACCTTGGAAGATCCAGCACCTGCCCCACCTTCGGAACCCATGTCCAAGCCATCTACTGAAATTGGCTGCAGCTTAGGATGTCTAAGCCTTTCAGTGAGTGCAGGACCGATCTGGCAACGCTCGTCGACAGGTAGTGCTACAATTTTTTCAGCAAGCTGAATGATTTTATCAGAGGGTGGGGGCCTAGGGCCATAAGGATCATAAAATGGTGGATACTTGTATCTTTTTGGCTTGGCTGTTGAGTCTCTGGGAGCAAAATCAGGCTGGAAGAAGCGGACCTGAAATGACCCGATTACTTTAGGAAGTGTGGAATGGACTTGAAGGGATCGGGCAACAGCAACTAGCTTCATTATTTCTTTAATTAATCAAAAATCATCATGGAACAAAATCCCTGAGGAACACAAAAATCAAAGGTCAATTAACATAGATGAAATGAAGGAACAAAAAATGTGCAGGTTGCATTTAGAATCCCTATGGAAGACAAAATCTATTATCAATTAACATAGATGAAAGCCTAAGACGACGATCTGCAGAATCCAATAAGTTTAAGCTGTTATTGAGTTGTTATCGTCCCTCCCTCACCCTCTCCCGCTCATGATTATCAAGGACAAAAGCATCAAATAACATAGATGAAAATTGAAGAACAAAAGAAAACAAAAAATCCTCAATTTAACACACATGAAAACCAAAGAGGCAAAGAGAAAAATTGAAGTTTTCTCCTGTCCTCCCTCTAGATCTCACTCAGGGCACAGGAAAACTAAAAGTTAATTCCCGTTTATAAAAGGTTAAATTATACAAAATACTCCTGAACGGGTACGTTTCAATTATGTCCCTATCATTTCAAAACCCTATCCGTAAAGAAAGATGTCTTGATTTCTGATTGTTGGATAAAGGACCACTGAGTTTGGGGCTGGGCTTGGGATTTACAAGAGGAATTGGGGATGGAGAATGGAATAGTTGGCGAGCTTGGTGAACCAACTTCATAATTTTGGCGAGGTATGGAGAAGATGTTGCAGAATAGTCCCTCAAGAAGTCTAAATTTTTCTCTTCGAAATCTGACTTTTTAAAACGTACAGAAGTTCCTCAAAGACTGAAAGTTCTTCATAGCCCGAAGCAGGTAAAAAATCTTTTGTGGAGTCTTGCTCGTAGAAGCCTCAACACCCACCAGAAACTCCAAAAAAAACATCACCAACTAGGCCCTCTCCCTCGGCGTGCAGCCTTTGATGGAGTCATTTTGAATCCTCTGATCACCTCTTCCTATTCCTCCATTGTCCTTTTTCTTAAAAGGTTGGTTTTTTTATGAAGGAACTTGGGTTATCTCTTTGTCTACCAGGGATGATTGATGATTGGCTTTTGGAAGTGTTAAATGGGTGGCTTTCAAGGGATAAATTAAAAATTCCATAGGGCTGTGCATCAAGAGCTCTTTTGTGGGGCCTGTGGAAGCAAAGGAATCAAGAGGGTGTTCAACAACAAATCTTCTTCACATCAAGTACAGCTCAATGCTTCTTTGTGGTGTATTAACCGTAGAAAATTCTTTTGTAACTATAGCATAGCCATGATCACCCAAATTAAAAATTCTTTTGAGAGGGGATTCTCTCTTAGTCACTACCCTTACCCTTGCGTTGTCATTTTTCTTAGCAATATACTTCTCATTTCTTACCCAAAAAAAAAAAAGTTCATCTTCAACCTTTAAAATTATTTCAAAGCAACCTTCTGTCAACTTTTGAAATAAAAAGAAAACAAAAATGTGACATGGCATATAAAGTGGCGACGAGTCCTAAAAATAAAGGTACATAAGGGGTGGTTTCAATTATGCTTATTTCAAAAATTTACCCTAAAAATTGTCTCCAAACAACTATTCTATTAACTTCCCCATTAAAATGGGCACAAATGGCAGTTGAAGAGTTTTAGATTAAAAAATGGTTTTGATTAGGGAGGGAAGAAGATGTTGAGGTTAGAGTTTTAGTCAAAATTGCATCTTTAAGGTGGAAATCACACACTGTTACAAAAGTCACAAATTGATAGAAGTCAAAAACCACACATTAGTAAATTCGAAGCGGGGTGGGGTCAAGAGAGAACGTTTTGTGAGAGAAAAATGTTCGTGAGAGAACAATTTTAGAAGAGAGGAACCTGTGGAAATCATGGGTTTATGGAAACTAAAATAAATTGGCAAAGGAAGGCGGTCCCTATCCTCAAACGTAAGAAACTTATCGAGCAATCGTGTTCCCTGAGTTTGGTTGTATTGGCCTATTGGGTTTCTTTGTTCTTTCTTCACTCTTTCCATTCATACGTTAGTCCTAATTTTCGTTAATTGATCGTGACATGGAGGTCCAAACTTTGTACATTGCATGTGGTTTGCTTATTCCTTTGGAAATTTGTCAAGGAGAAGGAACAATATTTTATCCTAACACCCCAACTATTACCCCCCCAAACGAGGTCATTTCGAATGTGACTAAGATCCTTCAATTTTTTTAGGGGTGTCCGGTCAGGTTTAGTTTTCTGGACCAAATTCAGATAAGGGAACTGAATGAATTGATCGTAATGGCCCTCCAAATTTTTCGGGTTGAATTGGGTTGGGTTATCGATAGTACCTATTTTTTTTTCTTTTTCTTTTCCCTTAAAATCTGTCCTGAAATAACAAATCAATCGTTTATCACCAAGCTTTCAACTTTCAAACAAGTTAATCAAGCAAAGTTTCAACTTTTAAGTTCCAAACAAACCAATTGAAAGAAATAAAAGAGAAAATCCACACGCAGTGCAGGCATAAAAAAAGCAACTTAACATCACTCACAACCACAAATAGCTACAGATCAGGCCAAAGAAAATTGACTCATGGAGTAGACATTAAAAATAAAAATATATATAAATTAAAAAAAACCAAGTTAACATTCACTCACAGTATGACACTATCTATTGAGCAAGAAAAAACAATTAATTATCGTTAACTCTGAAATAATTAAAAGTACCGTGAGAGATGTGGATGTCGACTACGGGCGACGGGCGACGGCTTTCAGCTACGGGCGACGGGCTGCGGCGGCGACGTCCCGCTATGGATGAAGACGGCGGCGACGAGATGAGATTAAATGAGAGATCTGATCAAGGGATATGAGAGGTAAATCGGTGATGAAAAATCGTGAGAAGTAGAGGAAGAGATGTTGATGTGCACGGAGCGTTATGAAACCCTAATCCAAAAAACATTAACATTTTTTTTTATATATATTTTCCGGTTTGGTTTGGTTCAGGCTGTATTGAAACTTTTTTTTTTATCGAACTCGCGAACTGAATGGAATTACTCCGCTCAGAAAAACCATAGCCAACCCACCCTTACTATTTGGATCGAGTTACTCAAATTTGTTGGGTTCTCGTTTTTTCTTTAACTCTCCTAATTATCTATAGAAAATAGATAATTTAGAATATCATTGTCCTTCCCGCTATTAAATGTTTGACAATTAGAAGTGAGAAATATAAAAATATTGTTTTTTTTAAATTAATAAATTTTCAAAAAACATTAGAAGTGAGAAATATAAAAATATTGTTTTTTTTAAATTAATAAATTGTTAAATTTTCGAAGATAAAATTTGGTACAATAAGCTAAGTATTTTTTATTATTTATTATGCAGATTTATTTTTTAAGACTAATTTCAAATTCTATCATACGTGGATTCTAAAAATGTTTTCTGTTGATGCTGAGATTCTGGTAGACCGGTTCTCTCCACTCTGCGCACCAACTCGAATACTACAGGACCAAATACCTATAAAACTGAACAAAACCCTAACCCAGTGTGACTACAGTCACAGGCTCCGATGTCTAAGTTAGTCAAAAGAGAGATCACTAAACAAGTAAGATACTTGAAAGTGTAGTTCTGGCTTACCTTCAAGGGCTGACCCCCTCCCTATTTATAGTCGATTTGTCCCCCCTAGGATTTCTAAGGATGCAACCCTAGATTTGATATTCGTGGGCTTTGAGCCGAGATGCCTTCAGCATCGGTAGAGGATCGGGAACAGGGCTCGGCTTTGGGGCCTGAATGCCACATACTTGAAAYAGGGACCGAGAGGGAAAAAAGAGAGCGTCGAAGGCCTTCTCGACCTAAGGCCGAGGCGGGGTCGGCTCTTTGTTGGGTCGGCCTTCATGTCTTGGGCCGACTCTGCCTGTCGATGGTTCCGGTTGTCTTTCTTGATGTAGTCGTATTGCTTCATACATAACAGTAGCCCCCACTCTCAAAACTGAATATGCAATTTGTGATCACGGTAAGATTCATGTTTTGAGAGTATTCGTTATCCGTGGTTGCTATGAAGCTTGTTTCATTTGTGTCATCAGTGTCGAATTCTTAGCTGACGCCAAGGTTCCTAATTTACTGAGCTTCTACCAAAACTTTTGTATCCAGCTTTCGAATTTAAAAGCCCGATTTTTTGTTACTAGTTGTGTACCAACACCGAGTTGTCTCATGGATCAGAAGTCTTTCCAGTTTTCATGTTTTGTCGAATTGGCTGATTATGATCAAGTCTTCAGGGCCTGATTTTTTACCCATTTGGTTTTCACCATTCCTTTTCGGCATTGGGATCTAACTTTAGCAGGGCTAGTGTCAAAGTCTTTGGATTTCCAACCTATTGGCTTTGCCAAGCGGTTTTATATCTTGACCCTATTCGCCTACCTTTATTTTGACCATGCTGAGCCTTTTCTGACTTGTTTCTTGGTCTGTCCCTTTTCTAGTTCCTTGACCGGTGTAGACATTTATGCACAATGCCCCCTACTTGAGAAAGTTGTTTTCACATAAACATAAGAGCTCAAGTATCATGTTAAATGACGTAAACTTTCATTAAAACGAAAATTGTTCTAACACAATAAAATAACCAGTCGTTTGACATAAACAACTGCAACAGTCGCTCATAAAATAAATGGAATGCATCACCAAGCTAGTGGTAGTACTTCTTGAGATGTTGTGCATACCATGGATGAAGTAGGACTTTTCCACGTGAATCTTCCAAGGCGTAGGTGTCTGTCCGAACCACTTTGGTGACCTTGTATGGGTCTTCCCATGTTGGTCGAATAACCCCGTTGGTCGGGTCTTTAGTATTAGGCATGACTTTTTTTAAGACCAAGTCGCCTTCTCTGAAGCTACGCTTCTTGACTTTCGAGTCGTAATACCGAGCGGTCCGATTTTTGTACTCGGTCTTTCGTAGTCGTGCTACCTCTCGATGTTCCTCCAATAGATCGAGGTTAAGTTGTATAGACTCGTCGTTTTCAGGTAGATTGAATCGTTCTACCCTTGGGTAAGGAAGTCCGATTTCTGCTGGCACTACTGCATCCGAAAGAAACGACAATGAAAATGGTGTTTCACCAGTTGATGTGCTGGGTGTTGTTCTGTATGCCCATAGTGCACTGGGAAGTTCTTCTGCCCATTGCCCCTTAAGCTTCTCTAATTTGGTTTTTAGAGTTCTTTTAATGATTTTGTTAACTACTTCGACCTAGCCGTTAGCTTGCGGGTGTGCTAGCGAAGAGCAGATGTGCTTGATACCCAACTCTCGGCAAAAGTACCGAAAAGCTGCATTGTCGAATTGTTTTCCATTATCACTGATAATGGTGTAGGGTATCCCAAAGCGGCAAATTATGCTTCTCCAAATAAAGTCGCTGATCTTCTTTTCGATGATTGTTGCTAGGGCTTTAGCCTCAGCCTATTTGGTGAAATAATCAACTGCTACCACTGCAAACTTGGTCTGGTCTTTTCCTTATAGGAGGGGCCCTATGAGGTCTATTCCCCATTGGGCAAATGGCTAGGGACTTATTATGTTGATTAATGGCTCTAGCGACTGCCTAGGCACTGTTGCAAACCGCTGACATTTGTAACATTTCCTTGTGAACTGTGTTACATCGCTTAGCATGGTCGGCCGGTAATACCCCTGTCGAATGATTTTGTAGCTCAGGGATCGTGCCCCATAATGGTTACCACAAACGCCTTCGTGTATCTCCCTCATAACATAGTCGGCTTCTTCTGGCTCTAAACATTTTAAAAGTGGCAAAGAGTAGCTTCTTTTATACAGGCTTCCATCTCTAAGAACATACCTAGCTGCTCGCCGTTGGAGTTGCTGGGCCTCTATCATTTCATCAGGTAGGGTCCCATCTCTTAAATACTCGATCAAATGGTTCATCCAATTCTTCTCGGGTTGACCGGGTTTGTCTATATCCATTGCTTACTAGACCTCTATGCTCGGCTTGGGTAAAATCTCCACCGGTACGGTTCTTCCCAAGTCGGTTTCATAGGCTGCCACCAGCCGTGCTAATGCATCTGCGTTAACATTCTGAGTACGTGGAATTTGTCGAATCTCGTATTTCGAGAATTGGTCGAGCTGATCTCTTACCTGGGAAAGGTACCTCACCATCCGTGGCTCTCTGGCTTGGAATTCTTCTTTCACTTGACTCACAATCAACTGTGAATCACTAAGTATTAATATGTTCGTGACTCCGATATACCTGGCTACTCTCAATCCCGCTAGTAGAGCTTCATACTCGGCCTCGTTGTTGGAAGCGTAGAAATTAAATTGCAGCGGATATTCGAACCTCTCCCTATTTGGGGAAACTAACAGAAGTCCCGCCCCACAGCCTTTGAAGTTTTAGGACCCATCTACGTACAAGGTCCAAGGACGCTCTGCTT